CTAGTCAGAACATCAGTGTGTTGTCAAGGTAATGTTGTCAAATACTTTCTGTCAAGGCCAACTGTGACTGAATAGTCTGAGGAAGCACAGCAAAGAATCCCTCATCTAATGCTGCACGGGTTAGCTCTGGTTTTAGCCCATTAGCCCATCAGCTTCAACCTCAACATCCAGCACAAAAACGTACAGGTTTAACCCATAATGGCTAAATGATTCCCCTTTTCCATTTCTAAATAATAATGAATAATGAATAATTTTCAAACATATTCATCTTTGTGAAAAGATGCTTAAATTTAGCCTGTTAGCGTCAGTGCTATCTCCTAAAAGGCAGACATACAGTCTGGCTTTGTATGCCATCAACCACAATGACAACCAAAGCCAATGTTTCTCAACGGTTAGGATAATGAAAACCCCCATTTGGAACCTCTTGAAAGATCGCTGAGTAGAATGTCAGTGAGATGACAATGTGGAAGTGCACAATCATACACTCACTACTGCACTGCCAATAGTGCCAGTCAGCAACATCATCTGTAGATTCTCTACAGGCCACTACCTCTGCACTGGTGTGTGCTGAATGACCCCCACCGCAGTCATTTCTGAAACACTCTCAGTAGGAAGCTCTCTCCCATCTGCAGAACGTAGCACTTGTTCCAAGGGGCATGTAATGTTATGTGTAATAGCCCACTGCAGAACAGCCACATTTCATGTTATCAGAACTCTGAACAGCCTAAAATCTGCACAATGTTCCCACATATTCTGCCAAAAGTCTGGGGCTAAAATACTTCTAAGTGTTCTGTAGAATCAAATCCCATTGCTAATGTTTAACTCATGCAACTGAAGAACAGAGATGCAGAGTTTGTTTCAACACACTGGACACATTCTTTGCTGGTTGTATAGCAGTTCTATATATTTGTGTTAGCTGAAGAATGAAAATAGTTTAAATACAATATAGAATAGAACAGATAAGTCTACAATAGAATAGAATAGAATAGTTTTATTTTATGTTTTCTGAATATAACACATTTACACAAATCTACTTGCTAACAACAATGTAATTATTCTTTCATACTTCAAAGTTTTTGCCAAACAGTGTCAAAGTTACTGTTATGGCAATTTTACATAACCGGAACATCTACATACCACTAATATTTCCACAGGAGCTCATACTATTGATGAGGAATGACTTGATTAGATGAGAATTTTACTCTACAAGACATAATAAAAAAGAGCAAAAATAAGTGGCCTGACAGCACCATACACAACATCATTCAGTTCCATGTCCAATGTAACAACTACTATATAACAAGTTCAACCACTCCACTCCTCTCTCCCTACAAACTGTCTACAAACAAACACTGTAAGAATGTTGTAAAAAGCAGCCACGATCCCATTTTTGCCTTTGAGACTTAGACCTCATCTCTGAGTTTGAGACTAGGAGACGGCACTGACGTGCACAATTTTTAACGAGCTATCGTCATCATTCAGGTCTGTCTTGCCTGCACAAATCCCTTCCTCAAAAAAGTTCCTGGTCTGGCACGGTTTATACGACCCACAAACCGTGACACTTGAACTACACCGACTGTTCATCATCGGAATTCTGAACAGCCGTTTAGGACAGAAGAGCTCCCGGCCCAACATTCCAGAACACTTCCCGTGTTCCAGCAGTCCCAGCAGATCTACTGTCCTGAATGGAGCTTGAGCAAAGCCTTATCCTGGACGCAGACGCTATTTTTCACAATACCGGGCCAAAAAGGAAAGAAGAATAAATCCAGCATGCCAGTAGGGATGTTGCGCAACGGGCTGAGACAGTAAATTTCAAGAGAAAGAGAGAGCGAGAGAGAGAGAGAGAGAGAGAGAGAGAGAGAGAGAGAGAGAGAAAGAGAGAGAGAGCTCAAGGCTGCAAGGCACACATCATAATACACCAAGCAAACTTTCAACAGCCTTTAACAGTGCAAAACTGCCTCTGATTTACTGCATATCATTATACAAACATACTATAAATAAAGCACACATCACTCTCTCACCCACCAGCGATTATATCCGCTGTCCGATGCCCCACAGTGAGATCATAGGTCAACCTCTGTCCTACATTAACATGTACTGCAGGTCTAGCTTTGGGGCAGCTTGTGTTTATGTATCTTCATGTGGTTCGTAGAGATTTTTAACACTGGCCAGCAGTGGATAAACTTAATTATCATCCCAGGCCTGTTTCCATGAGCACAGTGACTGTCCCACAGCCAAAACATAACTGCATAAAGATGCACAATCAGTGCCCAGTCCTGTCTCATTCAGTTATTGCTTTGCTTCTTTCATTTTCGCTTTACCTTTATGTGCTATGTCTGTTTGTGGTGACTGCAGATATTTTCACATCCATGTTATTCGTCTGTGATGGTGTACACAGTGATGTGTTTCATGTGGACTCCAAGAAAAAGAGCTCGACACTGCTGTACATAAATGACACAAAGCCCTTCAAGGGTACATCTGTTAGAAATCTATACACCTGGGTTCGTGGTTATGGTCTCACTTCTAAGGTATAACAATTTCAGTACAGCATGAAAAAAATGCAACAGTAACTTTGTTGTAGTTAAAGCTTAGCATCAGACTATCACTGTAGAACATATATAGACCTTTTGTTTTGAACAAAAATGTGTATTTCTTTTGAGATAAACCAATCTGTGTAACACATGGTGAGAGCTCTACAGAATCAAGAAACTTAACACATCAAATATTGAATATTAAACTGAATATCAGATGGACTCTTACACCCCTACTCATTTCCCATTTGATGTTTTAACTTGGCAATCTTGCACCTTAAAGGGGGATTCCACCAATTTTTAAAATTATCTGAATAATTCAGTCCTTGAGATGTAAACAGAGTCTCTCACAGTGGTCTGATGTGAAATAAATTTTGTAGGGAAACCTACAGGTACTGATTTCTTTCCAGTGGTGGTGATAGGAACCAGGGGTCACAATCTCTACAACACAAATACAGCCATTTATTTACTATCCAAAGCCACCAGTGAACCTACACGTCCTCTGAGTTTTTATATGTAACGTTAATGATGGTAAAATAGTCATTCATTTGAAAAAAATGTTTTCTTTGGGGACTATTTTTGCCTTACAACACCCTGCATGTACCCCTCCACATGGCCTGGATTAAACAAATGGGTTAAAATGTGTTTTAAGCAAAAAATAAATTTCACAAAACAATGTGTCAGGTAGAATATATCTAACCATTTCATGTAATAACTTTCTGAGAAAGAGCTTATGGTTCCCATCACCATCACTGTGAACAACTCTGACTCTGCAAGTTTTTTCCAGACCAGAGTATTTCAGATCAAACCACTCTGAATGACTTTGTTTACATCTTAACCATTTACCTATGTAAAAATTCTGAAAAATCTGTGGAGCTCCCCTTTTAAACGTCAAGTCCAGTAGTAAGATCCAGAATAAAGATATCAGATTCTATAATCAGCATAAATAAAAACATAACTGAACACATGCTGCCAATTTAACAGTCGAAGTGATGATGATGATAAGGTCTACATGACTTCTACCAGTGCACAGGTCTGATGTGGTTCATGAGCAGTGAATTACATTCAGGCCCCTGAGTGAAGCTCACACATCCCTTATCTCACAGACCACTGCGAACACACGGTTAAATGAGCCTGAACATGCACACCAACTCACACACACCGATTACCCTCACATGCCAGCGGTCAGTTTGATCGGTCTGGAAGCAATTTGGCCGTGGAAAAGACGAAGAGAAGAAACGTCTTGCAGAATGAGTGCAGTGGCGACGCTGGCCCACACAAGCCTGACTCTGTCTGGAGTGGAGCTAACGCGCTGGACTGCGAGCCTCACTATCGCACCAGGCGCCTAAAAAGCCAGTGCATTCAGTGTTTCGTTATTAGAAATGTGACTGAGGCCCTGGCAGCAGGTGACAAGGTGCAAACAGTGAAACTGAGCGGGATTTATACAGTAAAAATAGGTCTGCGACTGCGGCCATGGTGGTGCCGCAGCACGGGGCGTAATAAAACTCTCCCTCGCCAATGCGGCTCTCGGGCAGGCTAACGACACAAACAACAAACTGCGCGACCCGGCAGCACTGATATTTCTGCACAAATATGACAAATAATTAACATAAAAAGCCTCCGCAAAATCGCCTCGTCGCATTTGAGAGGAGAAGCCAACAGATATTGATTCCCATTGGCTTTGACTTCAGCGGTAGCTTAGCCTCAGGCGGGGGGCTAACGTTGGAGGCTTCGCCCACAACGAGACGAAGGACGACCAAACTGAAGTCAGCGTCTAGTTCCAATTATCCCGTTCCACCTTAAATGGTGCAGCAGTTCCATTCTGGCGCCTCGGAACATTTAAACCACTCCGGTCAGAACGTAACTGCTGCACTATTTAAGGTGGAACGGGATAATTCGAACAAGAAGCTGGCGAATACGTAGCCAACCTCGGGGGTCTGAGTGATAAATTACCTCAGAAACAGCAAGAAACGCGAAATATGACAGAAATGTGGTGGTATGTGACAGAAATATGACTATTACCAGTCACACAGGCGACATTTAAAGCCCGTTTTTGAAGACGAAGGAGCCAAACCCGTCCGGACCAGCAAGTGACCGAGCAACTCCAGCTGGTTTTGGGTCATTGAAATGGTTTAAACGTTCCTGTCAGAGAGAGTGAAACCAAGCGGACCGGCCACTAAACAGTGTGGAGACACTGTTTGTGTCATTTTTAGCCGATAACGGGGTGAAGATGAAATGAACGAGCACAGAAAGCCAGGAATGGACACGGAGTCGCCGCGGTTCGTCAGGAGCTAACTAACTAAACAGCCCCCCAGATCTCTCCCTCTGTGCGTGGTCTCGCCTCGGCCGAACGGCCTCCACTTTTTAACCGTTACAAAAAGTTAACGGCTTTAGAACGAAACGGCGTTTTACAAAACACGCCGACGTTCTCACGTTCGAGAGAAATTCGTAACATACCACAGCGCTTACCTCAGGTGTCGGCGCCGCTGCTCCCTTTTTCTCTTCGACCTCCCTCTCTCCCACTCCCTCTACTTCTCTCTCTACCTCTCTCTCTCTCTCCCACTCCCTATACTTCTCTCTCTACCTCCCTCTCTCTCCCGCTCCCTATACTTCTCTCTCTACCTCTCTCTCTCTCTTCCACTCCCTCTACTTCTCTCTCTACCTCCCTCTCTCTCCCGCTCCCTATACTTCTCTCTCTACCTCTCTCTCTCTCACACACTCCCTCTACTTCTCTCTCTACCTCTCTCCCACTCCCTCTACTTCTCTCTCTACCTCCCTCTCTCTCCCACTCCCTCTACTTCTCTCTCTACCTCTCTCTCTCTCTCTCTCTCTCGTCTTCTCCTCCCATTCCAGATGTCGCTCGCGAGCCGCAGGAAGCGCGCGCTCCCCTCTGTTTCCCACAGCGGAGAGAGCGCGTGACGAAGCTGAGTGAATATAATAAACTGAAAGAGGAATTCCGCCCACTTTTTAAAACCGCACAGTTCAGACGCTGGGGTGTAAACAATATGGAAACCCGTTTCATAGTCATTTAGTGAGTTATGATCATGAGAAAATGTTCCGTTTTTATTACATAAAATTATTATGACTTTCTCATATGTATGACTTGATATCTCATAATAATGAAATCCTATTTCATAACTTTGACTTAATACCTCATAATAATTACTTACTGTCTCATAATGAGACATTTTTCTCATAATTATGATACTGCGATAGAAAGTTAATAAGTAAGTCATTATTGAGTCATAATTGACATGCTAAGTCATAATTATGAGATAGCAAGTCATATTTAAAATACTAAGACATACTTATGAGAAAGTGAGTCATAATTGAGATGTCGTCATAATTATGAGATATGACCTCACTAATGGGACATAAGAAGTCAAAATTATGAGACGCTATATCTTAATTATGTAAATCTTTCTCATCATTACGACTTACATAAAATATACTAAAAATCTATACTTTTCTCCAGTGGCAGAAACGAGCTTCCAAAACACAGAGTCTTTCAGAGCAGTCTGATGTGAAATGCTTCATTGTGGAGGAACAGACTGATTTCTTTACAGTGGTGGTGATGGGAACCAGAGGTCACAATGTCGTGTCTTCTGAGTCCTAATGTGTAATAATGCTTATGATAAAATAGTGGCAAAAGTTTTCTTTGGTGACTATTTTGCCTTAGAACACCCTGCATGTACCTCTCTGCTGTAAATGGATAAAAAAGGTTTTAGACCATCAAAACTACCAAAAATCAACATCTTAGGCATCAGGAATTACATATCTAATCATTTCATCTACTTCTTAAACAGTTTTAAGGAAGCTTCTGAACTTCTGATCATAAAAAAAAATCTTTTTCTTTTGGGAAAAGGTTTTAAAGAAGGTTGTACATTATAAATGTGTGTATTTATACATATTTATTGCATATATATTTATTTATGTATATGTTAATAGATTTAGATAAAGAGAGATGGTCAATGACAGACAATGGTTCTATATAGGACCATGAATACCCAAAGAACCATATGCATGCTTAAAGGGTTGCATGGTGAAAAGGTTCTACAGATTGATGGAGAATGTATTATATATGATTCTATATAGATCCTTTTTGAAAGCGGTTCTATATAGCACCAAAAAGGGTTCTTCTATTGTTACATGCTTGTCATCATAACAGTAGAAGAACCCTTTATGGTGCTATATAATTTTTAATTCAGTAAAAGAGCCAATTTCATTTTGGTTCCTGAGGTTAAAGTTTAGGGTTAGGTTTAGGTTTAGGTGTCGTAGAGCCGCATTTAGCTACAGTAATATATAACTCAGTGGAAAGATCCCACAAAGATAGGAATACAAACTTGTGTGTACATGAAACAGAAGTTCTGTTCTCACTTTTTTGTTTGATATAGTATGTAAACATTGTAGAAATGTTAAAATGTACCATTCACTCCCCTGACCATACAGGAAACGCAGCTGCAAAAACAGCTCATTTTGAATTCACTGTTTTTGTTACGTCACGAAAACCAACAAAAACGTTTATATAGAATACAGCAGTTTAGCCCCACCCATTCACACTGAAGTTGTAAGGAGTGTTTCGGCCTGTTCTGCTTTTCGAACGAGGCTCAGTACAGGCAGTCAATCAGAAGAGAGACTATTTGATAATATATCAAACAGCCTGTTCATCAGAAAAGCAGCTGTTTACTTCTAAAGGAAATAGATGTTGGAAATGCTTATGTAAAAATGATGTTTTTTGGTATGTAAAACCAAACAAGAGAAAAACATTACATTTAAAAAAAGGATTTGTGGAGCTGGAACTATTCCTGGACTGTAGGAGAGTGAAGGAATTTGGGGGTGTACAAGGGGGGGTCTGTATCAGTAACCATCTGTGCTCTTTAACTTCTGCTCTGTCTGGGTTGTTCACAGCTGGGGGTCTGAAGCAGGACTTTGTGTGAGTGTGTGTGTGAGTGTGTGTGTGTATGACCCCTGACCTCAGACTACAAGAGGCGAGTTCAGTTCACACTGAGGGGTACACTGAATTCCTGCACTTACATAAACCCTCATACTTCACTATATTATTCATCTGCCTCCTCTAATGATGTTCTTATTAATAGCTGAGGATTTCTCTATTCCACAGCTTTTCTTTTTTTCATGATGGACTAGATGAGTTCTTCTCTTTTCTGTCTCCTTCTTGGCCGTAATTGGACTCCACTTATTCACTGAGCGGTCACTTCAGTCCAACTCCTTGTTTCTACACTCTTTGTCCATTTTATCAGCTCCACTTACTATATAGGTGCACTCTGTAGTTCTACAATTACAGACTGTAGTCCATCTGTTTCTCTGCATACTTTGTTAGTCCCCTTTTACCCTGTTCTTCAGTGGTCAGGACCCCCCAGGACCACCACAGAGCAGGTACTATTTGGGTGGTGGATCATTCTCAGCACTGCAGTAACACTGACGTGGTGGTGGTGTGTTAGTGTGTGTTGTGCTGGTCTGAGTGGATCAGACACAGCAGTGCTGCTGGAGTTTTAAACACCTCAGTGTCACTGCTGGACTGAGAATAGTCCACCAACCAAAAATATCCAGCCAACAGTGTCCTGTGACCACTAATGAAGGACTAAAGGATGACCAACTCAATCTGTGCAGCAATAGATGAGCTACTGTCTCTGACTTTACATCTACAAGGTGGACCAACAAGGTAGGAGTGTCTAATAGAGTGGACAGTGAGTGGACACAGTGTTTAAAAACTCCAGCAACACTGCTGAGGCCATTAGTGAAAGTGCTTATTTTTTGCATTCCTTTCTAGTTTAATACACTTTTTATGACAAACTCTATTATCAGCATAACAATTTAAATGAAAAGCAGAATCTATGAAATTTTAACATGAATTTCAGGATTTCTTAGTATTTAATAGGTCCTCCTTTTGCTTTAATGACAGTGTGCACTGGAGCTGGCATGGACCCCACAAGCTTGTGCAAAAGCCTCTGATAAGTAGATCAAATCCTCCTGAGAGTTGTCTGAACATGAGCTTCACTGGACGAGATAAGACAAAAAAATCTGACCTTTTTGTACGTACGCCTTAACATGATCAGTGTCACAAATTTACTGTGAGTAGTGACCTAGAAACAGAAATGAATATTTCTTCTTCATTTTATTTGTCATAGCTGTTCTTGTTCATTTGTTTTAAATTTTCCTCAATTCTGAAATGCTCCCTTGTTTATTTCCAAGTTTAAATGTAAAAAGGCCCCAGATTTTCAATGCAGTCTCAGGCTTTTGGTCCCTACAGTAGACAGCTCCAGTGGTGGGGTAATCACTCAAAATGGAAAATGTCATCTCATTACTTTACCTGTGCATTACTCTGCACTCAATCTCTGTTTTTATTGGCGATAATTTTGGTAGTTTCAAGTGTACTTCCTAAACAAGCAAGTCTAGAAATAGGTTAAATAATCTTATAATATTCTTATAATAATCTTAAAATGAGAAATATTAGATACATCAATCAGATTAAAGATAATTTCATGCCAAGCTTCCACTTTTTTGCAGCCACTCTGCAGAATAGAGTCTAAACCCATTTAAAATGTGCATACAGGAGGGCGCCATTTCTGTCTTTTGCCTAGAATCATTAAAACTACCCCTGCAGACAAAGGACTCAACACTGAAAAAAATGAAAATAAACATCCGCTCAAAGTTTATATCAAAGCTCCCTCATTTATTTATGTATAATAGCGAGGTGGTTCCCTGTGGGACAAATGGGAGATGATTATAATAAGAGCTCCTGTGTTCTTACATTGTTGATTATTGAGGAATCAAAACTTAGATGTTAACAAGTTGTGAGCAGAAAAGGCACGAGCCACAAATACTGCAGAGAAGACATTCAAGACCAGACTGTAACACAGTTTGGAGAAATTCACATTGAAGTCCAGAAGAAATTAGAAATGGAATACATAGAAAAGTGTATCAATGGGGCCGGACTAGTATATTATTAAAAACAATGGTTCTTCAAGGATTCTTTAGTAAAGAAAATTGTTCTATATAGAACTACAAACACTCAAAGAACACTTTGCATGATAAAAGGGTTGTTTGCATTGTTAAAGGGCTCTTCAGATTGTTCTGTATAGCACTGTTTCGAAAAGGGTTCTATATAGCACCAAAAAGGTTTCTGTTATTGTTATGATGTCAGGCTTGTACCAATAGCAGAACCTTATTTAGTGCATCTCCATCCCTTAATCATGCAAAGGGTTCAGGGTTCTCTATAGAACCATTTTCTTTATTAAAGAACCCTTGAGGAACCATCCTTTTTAAGTGTGTATACCTTTATAGGCTGTTTTACAAATGAACGGTGGTCTCTGACTTTTGCACAGTACTGAAGAAGTAAGAAAAAAGGCCTCATAACCCATAAACCAAAATCTCATTTCACGCCTCTGTGTTCAAATCCTGCACTGATAACCTTCACTAAAAAAGTCTGACACTGACTACATGACCAGTGAAGTACAAACAGTAAAGAAATGGAAAGTATCTTAGAAGGAAAAAGGAGGCGCTTATGACTGTAATAACTGAGGCTCAGATGTTTGTGACAGGTCCATGGCCAGTGTTTGATTAACAGGCTTATTCAAAACTTGAATTCAGGGTAACAGGCAAAAGTTCATTCATCAAAAAG